GCTGACGGCCGCAGCCTATGGACTTGCGTCCCAAGATGAGGAGGCCCACGCAGAACATGGCACCCATTTCCTCTAGTTCCCTGGTACCAAACTGCAGACCCTGCCGGTTAAACAAAGCAGTCAGCAGGGACCACGTCAGGGGAACTGAGCAGAGAGCATTTGAGATTGGGGAGAGGACTCCAGGACACACGACTGTCACAGAGATGAAGAGTCCGTGGTACTGATCAGTCACCGTCTGCTGTGTTTGCTTGTGTGCTTTGTGGACTGGACATTCTCAGTGTACACCACATCAACATTCGGGGTCTCCCAGCAGTACTCCCAAGACAACGGTATGCTGGCAGAGGTACCAAAGGGTGGGAGGGACCATGGGATCCAGGGATCTCTCCCCCTGCTTCAGCCCAGGCAGCAGGGCTCCTGTCTGTATTCTGCAAAAGGCTTCACTCCTGACACAAGCCTTTGTAAACAATCTTGCAAGAGATACTGTCTCTCTCCCATAAATTTATTAACCAATAGAGAAGAATGAGGGTAATCCTTCATATACAAATACTGAAATAAAAATGAACCAAAACACCATGTATTTAGAACCACCTATTCACCCATACTGAGATAATATGTGAGAGTAAAACCATGGCGTGTCTTAACCACTTGGTCTATGCTATCAACCACGAAATACCCAGTAATAATACCAATTGACAAGCAACTTTACTGAGCATTTACTATTGCCCAGATACTGTTCCGAGACTTTCTTACATGCATTAACTCCGTGAATCCTTACCAAAGCCCTGTGAAGGAGGTATTGTTTTATCCATTCTCCAGAAAAGGAAATGTAAACCCTTAGGATGCTACTTTCTCCATGATGTCACAGATAGTAGTAATGAGGTGAGTAAATGAACTCTGACATAACTACTCAACAAAGTGCTCACATGGACTACAAGGGACTCTCTTACATGCTAAAGTAAAAGTGCATAGTTTTTGAAATTAGATGGGAATTGGGTTTGAATTCTAACCTCACTGTCTTTTGACTATGTGATCTTAGATTTCATGAACTCTATTAGCCTTGGTTTTCTCATCTGTAAAATGGGATCGTAATTCCTCCCCCCACATGCTTGGGCATGTCACTATGAGGAATATTTCAAAGTTCCCACAATATTAATCAGTATTAGCTCAATTTTTCTTTCCTTCTTCTTAGCAAAGATATTTAATAAAAGAGAAGTCAATGGGGTCCTGAGGATTTCATGTTTATAAAGTACATTTCCCTTAAGTGAAAAAAATCAATTGAATATTTAAAAACAATAGATTTTCACATCTAACGAACAGTGACACAGAAGACAGGGATGTGACAGCAAATATTCAAAAAGGTTGGTCATAAGCATCCCAAGGGAAAACGAAATTCCAAATTGAGAAATCGTAAGCCTCACAAAATAATTTTTAGGGAAAAGGATACAGGAGAGTGGAAAATCCTCACGCTGATTTCAGCACTTTAAAAATTGGATTTCCTGCATGTTTGGACACCTGTTTTCCTAAGGAAAAGAAACCTTGCTTCAGAGTTAAGCAGAAGTCTGTTCACAGTAAGCAACAGCAGTGGGAGGGTAAAGACAGATGTTTAACGACTTCTTGCTTTTCCTAATAGGGAAGATCACTTTATAAAGAGAGAGAAAAATCTCAGAGTCTCTTCCCATGTGCTAAACCTCTGAGGTCTAATGCTTTCCCCCAACCCTGTTTTCCCGGCTGCTCTCCTTCATTCTGGAATGGCTGACTTGCTTGGGAGCTCAAGTAGGGGTCACACCATCACCCTTCACAGTCCGCCACCTCGCTGGTGACCAGGGAGAGCACACAAGGAGAATATGAACAATGACTGTGGCCCCTTGGGCACGCGGCAAGCCCGATACACATGTGTAACCCCAGCACGTAGCAGAGCACATGATGGGTCAGAAGAAGGACAAGGTTTGGAGGCGATAAATCTTACAACATGCACCGTATTGACAGGTGGGGGCAATTCCTTCATACCTGCTAACTTCTATAAACAGCAGACAAAATGATGGCCTACTAATAAGGCAAAAATAGTTCCACACCCCAGACTTTTATCCATTGCTTTCAGGCAATGATTGATATTGTAAAAAGACTAGTCCAGATGACCTGAATTAAAGTAATTTATACCACTTACTGCCTGTGTGGTCTTGGGCAAGGCAGTTATTTCATTTTGCCCTCTACTATTAGTCTTTCTTTACTATTCTATTATCAGAAATATTTGTTTATATGGACAGCCTCCACTCATCTCCCATGTCCCACCTGGAAGTGAAATCCAAATGCAATAAAAGAACAGTATCTGTTTCTTAATATCTCTGGCATGGAGTGCGTAGCTTCTTATACGGCATATCTGCAATACATGATAAATGGGTAAGTAAGGCTATAAATGGGTGAATACGGAGAGGCACTGACAGACTGTCCCTTGGGTACATATTGTATTTGCCAAATGGAACTTGACTTCTCTAGGTAGCAAATACATGAATGTCTTTAATTATGTCAAATTTCATGAGCATTTTCACATTTTATTTTATTTTTTACTTCAGGAGATGCATTTGCATCTCTGATATGATCTAGTAAACAGGTGAGTAAAACTTAGAAATTCTGATCTACTTTGGTCAGTTATCATGGACTCACAGTAACAAGTATATAAATAAAGCTGGCTTTGGGGTGGTTTAAAAGTGAGTCTTAATAAGATAGAGACCCAGCTCCCCTCTCCTTCCATCTTACATGTGTTAATTTATATTATTTTTTTTTTCCACAGACAATAACAGAAAGCCTAACTATTGTGGCTTAAATAAAAACAAGGTTTTATTTTTCATACATACTAGTTCGGGAACATTAGATTCACTATTTCAGTGTCTTAATATAATAAGGGCCACTCTATTTGCCATTCTGCTGGTTTTCTCATCATGATTGCAAGGTGGCTGCTGTAGCTCCAGCCAGCACATCACCGTTCAAAGGAGAAAGAGGAAATGAAGCCCCAGCATACTCTTGCATACACTTTATTGCCAGAACTGCAAAACAGAGTCAACTCCAGCTTTACAGTGACCTGGTAACTGAACATTTTAGCTTGCTTGACCTCTTTAAAAGAGATGAGAAAACAGTGTTAGAAATAGGTGGATAAACCAACAAACCATGTCTGTCACACCAGACATTCTACCAGAAGTTATACGTCCCTATCTATGCATCACAGTGGTAAGCAAATCTCACAGCCAGAATCCTTTACATTTTAAAAAAAAACGTTTTCTTGAAAATCCACTCTAAAATAAGGAAGAAATTACTAAGGACATTATCACGGGATAAATTGGATGGGCTACAATGAAGCCACTAAGATGATAATTACAACCATTTAACAATATAGAAAATGCTTTGACATATTATTGGTGGAAAAAAAGAAAAACACAAAGCATGAAGATTGAGCAGTGAGAGCAGACGTGGTGTCCCCCCAGGCCCGAACTCACCTTTTCAGACATGATTGCTAGGATTTGCTGATAAAATACAAAAATTTGGAGAGAAGTTATCAAGAGAACAACCATGTAGCAAAAACTTTAAAGAATTACTGCTCCCTAGCAAAATGTTTAAAAAGGCATAGCATGCCAATACATGAGTGGCAAAATTCCCTTCAGCCATTTGTAAGACCTTCTCTGTATCTTTTATATTCTGAACTAGGTTTAGATCTATTTTTTTTT